AATGTGATTGGCTTATTGAACTGTCCGATAACAAACTGTCCGATAACAAACTGTCCAATAACAAACTGTCCGATAACAACTTGGCAAGTGAATTACTGTAGTGGAAAATAAGAGTTTTTTCAAACCAATCACAATCGAGGAAATTGTAACTTTTATGATTAGTTCGGATATTTGTCCTTGGACATCATCTCCTCACAATTTTCCTCGAGCTACGCTCTTGGAAAACTGTTCCCTGCTCGGAACAGATAATGGCCGTGGACAAATATCCAAGTGTGTCGTTCGCAAAATATTTAGCATGAAAAGTAATCACCACCTGGTGCACGCGTGCATTTTAAATACTGAGGCCTCACTGCGTGCATGAAGCCAGTATAAGGATAAACGTAAGCAAAAGCAACCGGGGGGGGGGGTGCGATTAACGCGAAAAATCAATCTTGACAATATTTCATGAAAGCAAATGTTGTCTTTGAGATGTCGCTTGATTCTCTTATTTGCGGCTAAGTCAGGCATGTCCTGAATGCTGATCTTTNGGGGGGGGGGGGCGTTAATCTCACGTGAGTAGGTCGGATTTGCTCATCGTCTCGCTTCGGGGTGTAATCAAGGATTTTGGTATCACTTAGGGTGTTCAGAACGAAACGTAGGTTCGATTACAAAAACACGATGAAACTTACCCTGGTCTCTTTCCGTGTCATAACTGCTTCAAAATTACATGTACAAGCATTGAGAATTTCAATTTCTTAGCCGGCATCTTGCACAGTGACAACAAGTTTGCTGAAAGTTGCCTTTAGCTTAATATCTGATTCTCCTTCCTCTGAAAAGGTAATATAGTGCCGATTTTTGTGCTTAGGTCATTGAAGTGATCGAAACGTCTTGAGGTTAATCTCTCTTAGATCAAGGTAAGAGAGTGTGTCCATCTATAGGCCTTATACCCAAGGTAATGTTTCTTAATTTATTTTTAGACATTGTACCCAGTTCTTTCGAGGATATTACTTGCGCGATGCGTGGACGATCCAAGCGACTTTCTCGCAACTACCTGCATGAGACGAAATGGCGGGGGAAGTGCGAAAAGTCATTTTATATGTTTTGATTTTCAAAACACGTTTGATAGCATAGATGCTTTTCTACACTCTCAGCCGTCTTTATGTTCGGCTGGACTTTCGCTTGCTTTATGCTCGTTTGGGTGTTCATTCTTTTGCCGTTCATTCGGTTTTAGGGAGATCCACGTTAACCGTAAGCGTCAAATTGCGGTTTGAGGTTAGACGTTTGCTGTTCGTCGTTCGGACGTAAACCGATTTAGATTGGAATAAGTTGGAGAGAATAGGAGGACTCTGTCAATGAAATGGAAATTGTCAAAATAACGCAAATTTTGAAAAACAAAAAAGTTTTCTTGTATGTGTAGCTTCCTAAGGAAAGAAAGCATTATAAAACACACATTCGACGTAAGTCGCCGCCATATTGGATTTCCACTTAAGATCAGCGCCTTTATTTTTTATCCAGGTCACTTCATTCGATTTCAGCATTTTTACCTGGCATAAAATAAAATTCCACAGCATCGGAGGTTTTCCCTCGCTTTGAAACGAAATATAGCATAAGCAAATCCTCCATGAAAACATCCACGCAACGTTCGAGAAACATCCGCGGAACTTACATCCGCGGGATTACATTGGGTATAAGGCCTATATGAAGGATTCAACCATTACTTTGATAATATCTTGCTTTTAAAAAGTGTCAACTACACTTCATCGCTTTCACATTTGTTGGCTTTACACTCGAAGCTAAGTTAGTTTCAAGACTTGACTCGCGTGAACTTCAAAATCTCAAATCGCACTTTAAAAAACTTGGCTTCGCACCTGATGACAAAGTATGTTACTTCAAGCAAAAGCTATCGTTTTCTTTCGCAGTAAAATCGTCATGCATATCGCAAATGAGATTGTTTAGCAGTAAAATAGTGAGGCCTTTGCAACTGAAGAGTGTGTTTTATAGTTTCCTATTTCATTGGTCATTTCTTTTAATTCAAAGGACCTTAATCTTACAAGAAATACATCTAAGTCTTAGGTACTTAGTTGTCAACGAGTGCATAGCAACAACACTAAAGAACAAGCGGCATCTTCGGTATTTCTCTAGACTATGGCTGAACAACACGTAGGGCTGTAGGTAACCGAGACATGGAATCACTGTGGAAAATGCTTCTCCGGGTAAACTCGTCCAATGTTCAACGGAGTTGTTCGGGTGCAAAGAAATGACCTGGTGAAAAATTGTTTAAAATCTTCAAACTATCAACCAGTTCTGAAATCTCGCACTAAAATGTCAGTGGCCTCAAAATTGTTAACTTTTACTATTGAATTTCATCACGCTCTTTCCATTTCTGGTATCTGTTTCGTACCAGGGCCATTTTTTTGTGTGTTTGACAAGGTCACGTGACACACTCTCTCTTACTTTATTAAAAAGGCATCTTGCATCCGATTGGCTACAAAGTCAATCGGTCATAGGTCATAGGTCAGCTGATATAGCTCATCTCTGCTGGATTGACTATAACGATGATCACTTGCTTAATTTTGTAATTCAAGTTGACAAATTAGATAACAGAAGACAACAACTAATGACATTAACATCTTTATTTTTTCAAAAAATTATTTTATTTCAAAATATTTAAGTTGTACGACAATTGCTTAATATTCTCACTAAGCTGTTGATAAATTCATCTCTATCAAAATATTAAGACTATAAAATCGACAAGGCCATCTTAAAAAACCTCAATAATGGTATTTTTCCTACCAATTGCCAAGGAATAATTTTGTTTTCAGTTCTGGTGAAGGCAAATAGGAATAAAATTTATTATCAAAAAATAAAGTTTGTAAAAAGGTTTTCGTTCGAAATAAATGCATTATTGAATTAAAACTACTAATCCTTCGTCGTTTATATTTTCTCTTGCTTCCGAGCTACTGAGCTCGGGGTGTTTTATTGGTGGTCAGTTGGGTTGGCATGGAAACCAACCAACCGTTCAACGATCGTCGATGAACAATCAATCGTTATCAACTGCACTTCGTTGCCTATTTAGGAAAAAAGAGTAGAGTAAATTTTCCACGACTGGGCATTTGATATGAGCAGGATCCAGTTCGAATGATAATTTAGCTGATCTTAAATTAGAACCATCTTTGAATTCAACCAGCTATATAAGATTGTAGAGGCAACATCGTACCTTCTCTTCACTTTACTCAAACAAGCACATTTTAACACATAGATAGCAATCTTGGCTAATGTTCAGTCACAAGTTTCGAATTCCCTAGCACTAGACAGACTGTCAACGATTTCGCTCATGACAACAAAGATAAAAAAGTAAACTCTAAATATTAGGAGTTGGAGAAATACTCTTTCCGTGACCGGTACTACAATAGCTAATTCATCTGGAATAACGTGCCCTTAGTGCAGCAGTAGCATATTGGATTTTTTTACCTGAAAGCCTGGTGGTGTCTCCTATCTCTGTGCAAACAGTTCTTGAAGACCAAGAAATGCTGGCGAACGATATGATATCTAAAATATAGCATATCGTAATTATTTCATTAATTATATTGGCGATGTGATAACAAATATGATAGGATACAATTAGGTAAACATAAATTGTTTCACAAGTGGTCAGTGGTTGTTGTTGTTGTTGTTGTTGTTGTTGTTATCACATCGGAAAGACAAAAGTCGTTTTTTTGTCTTCTTTTTTTAATTTACTTCCTCCATGTTCTCGTCCGACCTTTCCTCTCTCTTTCTCTCGCCCACATTTCATAGTAAACTTTAGTTTGTCAACGGGAATACAGATAAGCAAATGAAAGAAGGAACACATCAAGGGAAAGACACTCAAGAACTTTTGATTTTCGTCGTTAAGGGGGCTTGACAGCCTGCGAACTAGGTAAGAGTATTTAAGACCGAGGCGGACTTGAAGTGACCTCATTTTGCGATCCGTGGGAAAAAACCTAGAAATAAAATAAATACTTTAATTTGATACGTAAATAAATAGATAAATAATAAATCAAGCAATCAGTTTATTCGAGTGTCATGGTATTTAGCACTGCTGTTCTTACTGGGGACACTAGCTGCACATCGAGAAACAAATACTGTAAACAGAGGGGCAAAAAGGAGGGTTTAAACCCGGGACCTCCGAATTACAAATCTAGCGCCCTAACCACTTGGCCACGCGCGCCGTCTCTATAAAACGCTGGCGAGCCGTTATATACACGGCCTGAGGAGTCCCAATGTGTCGACATTTAATCCGGTTACTGCAACACTGACGTCTACGGGTGTTGATAAATAGCTGTAGCGTGTCATGGGACTATTACTGAAGCGTAACAAAACCTCAACTTTCCATCAGATACTCTCGACCTTTATCACAAATCTCAACGTATAATATGGAAATACCAAATATAGAAAAATACATTTCCTATCGATTATATAATTTAAGCCAGAAAGAAAGATACCTTGGTATCAAAACTTTGTAGTCCTAACTTTGAAAAGTTACGTTGAAATCAAGAATTTGTTCTTAGGGTTAATAAAATATTTCGTTAAAGAATTAATGTTGAATGCTGTCATAGTTAAAAGGGCTAAGCTCTTCCTCCTATCATATCTCTGATTATTAATTGAATTGATTAATTTTGATCGTTTGGTCATAGCACTCTTGAAGAGATATTTCCTGGCAAGTGCACTGAGTAAATTTAAAAACATTACTGAAACTGGATTGTGTGCTTCAGTCTAACAGTATTGACTTCAAAGTTGCGGCCTCCTCACAATTACAATTTTTGTATTCCTAACATGTCCGCTCAGAAAGGATCAACTACTAATTCTTCATACAATATCACTATTTTGTCCAACAGAAAAGTAATCAGAATAAAGAAAATCATCAGCCTAGGTGGGGCGTGAAAGAAATGTATAACAATCAGTAATGATGTAGATGGCCTTCCTTACTACGGCTGGCGGGCCTGTAATTTGAGTTGACCAATCATGATTCAGCGGGCGGAAAAAACTTCACTGTCCTTACGTCAATGTAAGTTAACAGGAAAGGCTTTGAAATCGGGCAACTTTTCTCACTGGAGATGGCATTAAATATTTACGAAAAGGGATTTAAAATTCCCAAAACCATATCAGATTGTAAAAAGTGAAAAGTATGAAACATTTGATGTGTTCAAGCTTCTAATTTGGCGCCAAAAATGGGTGGTCGGCCTGCGGCATGGCAAATCGCTCATAGTTCGTCGGTGTCGCCAGGTAGGATAATAGTTGTCTTATTTTGAACAAATTATGCTGTTGCCCGTCAAATTAAACCCGGAATTCTCAAATTAACTATTAGAAGAGGCCAAAGCAACTTTACAACTGACTTTATTTTTGTTAGCTGTGAAGAAAAAGGCTATTATCGTGTCGTTTCGGTAGGACAGCTCAGTTTTGACTGCCATTAGTACTCCGGGCGCAGCCGCCGTATGCAAGGTTGTTGTACCTAGAGAACTTAATTAAGATATAATTTTCGGTATCTCCTTGCTGTGACGGCATGCTCCCTCAGCTGGGCTTTGCGTTTACCATAAAGTTCAGTAAAAAGCAGTTGAATTATATAGGAATAAAAAGCGATTGAACTCTCAGCGTTACAAAACGAACACCTAAACTCGCTTCTGAAAAAGCGCTGTTGCACCCCTCTACTTCTTGAATTCAAAACGCAAGCTAATTATCGTGTTTCAGAGTCTCCGGTGTCTCATTACTGAGATGGAAATTAAAGCTGTCGAGCTGTGCTACTCGTGTATCCGGGGTCAAAGATAATTTAGAACTTGGATTTGGGACTCACGTGCACAAATTGTTGCTCATAATCAATCACAAAATCGACAACTAGCCTATTATGTCTCAAACCAAAGTCGTCATGAAATATGCTGAAAGCAAACCAAATAAGTGACAAGGAAAATAAAGTTTGAGAGAGATTGAAATAGATTGCAAACATCGACCTTGAAATTTTTAGGCTGAAGTTTTCAAGACGCGAATCATTTCACACTACTACCTTTTGAGACATTTTTAGTCAGAAAAAGTTGAATCACTCATGGTGACAGCACAAATCGAGTTAGCCTAATCTCCAAAGGAAGAGATCGTTTGCAAACTCAAAAAAAAAAAAAAGACAATTGCCAAGGCTTAATGAAGTCTGTAAAACGATAACTCAGATCAAAATGCACATAATACTGCAGGCTGTCCCACTGAGGAATCATTCTAATATGCAAACTGAACACAGTGTTTCTTGGCCAAACCAAATTACCATGCTTACAAATCTAATATACTATTGCGCAAGTTAAAACTTGTTTTGGTTGACGTAACGTCTTCTCTAAATCAGTACATTACCAACGTTTTAGCCAGCATTTGGCAAAGGAAATACACGAAAAGTAAAATCATGCTGGAGAGAGGATAAGTGAACCATAAGCCTCATGATGGGACGCCTTTAAACTCGCGTTATTTATAAGACAAACACAGCGAGACAACCGTCAACAATTTCAAGTGAAGAAACATTTTCTCCGTTTTGAACAACAACGACTGACATGTGTTTGGTGGTGGATTTGACGGGTTCATACTCACCAAAATAAGGGACATAAGTGAACCTTCAGTCTTAACTGTCCCCATTAAATGTTTCCGTGTATTGAACATGAGCCTCTTCACATCCGCTTGTCACATGTTTAATAAACGTCTGTTCCAACTGTTGCCTTTTTCGTTTTAATTTCTCCAGTTCCTCCATTAGCCTAGAATTTTCCATACACAGCTCTTCGACTGTCGTCTCCAACCTTGATTCACGTATAAGCTTCTTTTGACGACATTTCCACGCTGCCAAGCGATTCTTTCGCCGTTTTCTTTCCGTTTTGATGAACCCTTGCACGTCGATGCTTTCGGGCATAATGGCTGACTGTGCCTGTTCCTCCAATGTGTCTACTTCTTGCTTTAAGACAGACATGTTATAAAGTTTTGTGTGAACGGTTAGCCAGTGCTTTGGTGTTGGGGTGTCTTGAATTGTGTGGTGACGGTCATGGTTCCACTCACCGTCCATTTCAAAATCGTCATCCCCATGCACTCCGTCCTGAAACTCCATGTCTTCTGGAACCCTGTTATCACTTTCGAAATCTCCGTAGTGATAATCTTGAGTCGTAAAATCAGAAGAAGGGCTTAGAAGTGATGGAGAATTGGTAGAATAATCATCGGAATCTTCTCCGGGTGAATTTAACAAGCAGTCTTTGTAGGAACACTGCTGCTGCCCAGAGAATCCTTCTTCCAACGTTTCCACTTTAAACCACTCTGAGATCTCCGATCCTTCGAGTTGCTGTCCACATTCCCGCTCGTAAGAAGTCCTATCTATGTCTTGGGTTGTTTTGGTTTTAATCATACCAGTAAATTTAGCAGGTGAAAACGTTTCTTGAAAAGAGGGTAAGCGATACGATGAATCAAATCTGTAAGAAATAAAAGTGCATTTTGAGTCGTCAACCAATTCGTCCGCCGTCGGCGTCTCTATTGTGCGTAGTTGACAAACTTCCCTTTCTTCTCGCAGTCGTTGCAGTGCGTCAGTAAACCCCCTAGCAAACACCTCTTGTTCTGCTGTGACTTGCTGTGTCGTATAATCTTCTTGCGGGACAAAAAGTGGCGGAGGCGAAGACACTGACTGTGGTTTCACCGTACAATTATCGGGGAAGTTTCTCCACACGATCGTCTCGAGATCTGGCGATGAAATTCCAATATCTGGAGATCTCAGCAAATCTGAAATATCGAATTCGTCTCTCCTTCCCGTCGATTTGTACTCATTCGCCAAGTTTAACCATAATTTTCCATTGTCTTGTGCGTAGGAATTTCTATTTGCTAATAAGAAGCTTTGATCCTCATAAATGGTGGCCTCCATTTTAGAGTGGTACATAAAAAATTCTAACCCACAGAGCTTGCTGTCAAGGCTGCCTTTCAAGGTTGCCGTAATCTTTGAACCAGTTTCAGTAATCCTGCTAAATTCCTGAGGTTTCTATTCAAGGCACGTGGAATTCAATTGTTCCACGGACATCAATGGGAGATGCGTGGCACAAGTCCTGGTAATCCTTTGTCGTAGACAATTGATTCAGCAAGTTCCCTGCAATGTGATTGGTGTATTTCTACTGTGACTGGTAACCTATTATGTCTCGCCCCAATACAGCGGCGTGTCCCTTTTTTCTTGTTAGTTTACGAATGTTCCAAATGACCTCCGAGTCAAGGGTTTTATTACTTTAACCGTAATTATTTAGTTGGTCAGTTCGAGGAACGGCTTTGCTTGTTTCTCGCACTCAAAAAAAGAGGCGTTGTGGTTAGCCTCAAGCACTATTTCCGTTGATCTTGTTTTGCACGTTTTAAGTGGTTCATGATTCCTTTTTCCGTATAGGAACTTGTCTTAGGTCCCAGATTGGCGCTTAATATCCATTTGGACCTGAGAAACTAAATCTTCTCGCGGTTTTCTTCCATTTTAACGTACCAGGAAACCACCTTTTTGGCGACAGCAGTAAATATATGAACTTTACAACCTGTCGCGTCTCATTTTAAAACAAAGAAGCGAATAAAACAAAATTATCATTGAACAACAAAGCTTTCGGTGCAACATTGAAGAAATTTGCGATTTTTTTTTTTTCGGAAGTTGCGAATTTGACATTTTATGATGACCAATACACGAACGAAACTTCAATTTACAAAAACATTCAAGTTAAAAAGAATGACACATTTATATATCACAGAAAACAGAGCGCTTTAAACAACTCAATTTTTGAAGAGATTCTTATGACAGACAACAGAATTATCTTACTGTAGTTACAAAAATAGGCAACTGAAAATCGCATCATATCTTTGGGAGCGTTAAATCGTGAATCCTGGAGAGCTTTGCGCCTTGAACCATAGCTGAGGACAGGCAAGCGACCTAATTACCTAAGTTTACCACATCATGATTGAAGAGCGAAGACTCGGAATCCAAATTTTTACTATGTGAAAACAGGCATCTTGCCTACAGTTGTAGAAATTTATAAGGTCACCTTGGAATTTATGACTTGGATCAAACAAAGATTACTCCAAATGTGAGATTGCGCGATCTCCAAAAACTGAAACAAAACAAAATTAACCAGCAGTTAACCCGGCCTGACAAAAAGAAGCAAAAACCAGTTGATTATTTGCCACATGGGTGGACGGGTTATGCCATCAGTTAAGTCAAGTCATTTGTTACAATGTCCAAGATTAAAATACCCAATATTAAAAACACAATTCCAGTTCTAAATATTATTTAAGAGGTCAGAACAGTACGATGTGAAAAAATAAAGAAAATTTAAATACATCAAAAAACGCACACCTTAAAATTGAGATTGCTGCACTCAGAAAGATGGTTTTGTAGGAAGAAATTAAAGAAGTTGAGCGATTCGCTCACTAAGTCAAACCCTCCCTTAATTAACCTTAGCTAATAGCCCTTAGCAAGCGTTAAGTTCCGATATTGTAATGCAATTTACGCTCTGTCAGATGCAATTTTGATGTCACAATTCTGGTAAACTGTATTGAATGATAATATAGCTCTTTCAATTATGACAAAGATTATATTATATGGGATTGGTTGAACGATGTCAGCTAGATCACCTGGCGCAAAACGTTTCCTTTCAATAAAAGACAGATTCCGGCTAACAGAAAATTTACGAAGAGCTCCCTTCTCGCCATCTGTATTTTCTAAAGTGCTCGCTGCTCGCAAGACAAATTTGATCACTGCTCGTGCTCGCAAAAATAAACGCACTGCTCGCATGTTCGCAAACGCTCGCAAAGACCATTCGATACCCCTTTTTCGGCCAAGCCCTATTACACAAGAGCCGTATTTCGCGTTATGCTCCGTAATTCTTCGTTAACAAGATGCTATTGCAGATTATTAACCACGTCATTTTTTTTGCCTAGTTTCCCTGATAATTTTTATCGCCATTTCTGCGATGGAAAGAGTTACTATGGGAGTCAGTTTAATGATCGCGGTGGACTGGGCCAAACTCGAAACCAGTGGCCCGTTTCTCGAAAACCCCGGAAACTTTTCGGGTCCGCAAAGCCATTTTAGGTTAATCTGTATTTGAAAACAGAGAGGTGTATACACCTGAAACGTTTTTTATGAAGGAAACTTCTGTTCATATCAAGAATATGGGAATAAAACATCTCTGCAATCATAAGGTTTGAGATTTTGCTATGGATTTCCGGGTGGGAAAAGACAAAAAACTTTTCGGGACCTTCTCGAAACGGGCCCTAGGTTTCTAGACCAACAGCCGGTGTTTTTCCACAGTTTGGGTCTCTAAGATAGAAATCTTCCCACGCGCGAAGAATATGGCCAAGCGCGTACGCACCCGGATAGAAGTGGATGTAAGTCACCTTGGAAAACCAGGAAAACTGTTCCAAAAAGCTGGGTAAGCTTTCACACGTATTCTCAGAGAGATCATGTAACTCGACTTGGAAGGACTCGATTCCTTGCAAACCAGGGCTTTCATGGAAATAACTTAACACATTCTTAGTGCGCCCTATTTTTGAATGATCGCCATTCTTTCCCGCAGCGTTTCAAGGTCATCGGTTTGAAAGAACTAACCAGCTGCCAGTCTTCACATGTCAGAAAAGACACGAGAAAAGAATAGATCCGAGAAACTATAGCCAGTAAGATATGATAATTATTTAGAAATGATCCGTATGACAGGTTGCCCTGAAAGCCGTCTTACAATTATGATAACGCCACAGAATCGCTGACTGGCTCTAGCTGTTTTACATTTTTAGTCGCAATATGAATGATTTTCGTTTTTTTTTTTATTTTTTTTATTTTTCTCTCTGGCGCGTTTATATTCGAAGGTAACACGAAAAATGTTTTGGATTGTCCGAATGATACTTTAAACTATTTCAGCCCTATAATATGCGAGGTTACAGCGAGAATTTGGTACCTGACATTAACAGCATTTTTAAGTCAGGGCCGGTGGAACGCTAAAAAACGCCACACAGCTACCAAGGGGTATGGATATGTTAAAATGGAGGTTTATAGAGGATATTACAGTAGACAACTCGAAAACTTCGGATATGCCTGACCACTGCCAAGTTTCACTGCCACGCGAACTTCAAAATCAAAACTCTTTAAGCAATAGACCTCCGTCAATCGAACAGCATCGATACCCCACTGTCATGAGTAGTGAGCTGCGGAGGAAAAACTTTACATTTTCTTCTTCCTCTTCTTCTTCTTCTTCTTCTTCTTCTTCTTCTTCTTCTTCTTCTTCTTCTTCTTCTTCTTCTGTCTAACAGAAATCCTAAGAAGACTGTAATAAATCTATAATTGAAAAGTACTTACGGTTCCTTCATGTCAACTCAATCCTCTTTATCTATCGACTGCTGGAAGCCACAGTCGTCACTATTGACCCCCTCGCAGACTCTAGCCATTGCTGTAACCTTCCGGGTACTGCTGGATATTGCCGAATAATATTCCTCACAAACAGCATGTCATGTACCGGAGGTAAAGTAAAACACCGATCAGCGTGCTTTAAGATGCTTTTCTTTTGTTCAGTGTGATACACAGACCGTCCATTTTCCTTGTTGTACTCTTTTGTGCTGGGTAATCAATCCTGGAGGTGTTTCTGTACCTTTCCTGTATTTTCTTCATGTATGTCTTCCCACATACAGTTTCAGGGGCGTAGCCAGCCTTTTTGCATAGAGGGGTTCCTAATATATATTGTTTGCTCGATTGACAATCGAACGCCGGAGGCACTCTTTACTAGGGGGGT